GGGGCAAGCAGGCCAGTGGTGGGGGGCAGTTGGGTGCAAGCAGGCCAGTAGACAGAGTGGTTAGGGGCAATCAGGCAGGCAGGCAGGTGAGTGGTTAGGAGCCAGCAGTCCCGGATTGTGAGAGGGATGTCCGACTGCCGGTTTAGGCCTGATCCCTGTAAAACGGCAGTAGGTCATCCTTTGAGGGGTCCCAGATTGGAGAGGGTGCAGGCCGGGCTGAGGGATACCCCCCCATGCACAAATTTTGTGCACCGGGCCATTAGTATATATATAAAAACCTAAATGCCTGGCCGACTGTCTGGTAGCTATGACGCACACTGACCACCAGGGGGCAGATGTTCAATGCAGGAGCGGAAACCACAGGCATGGAAACATGGAACAGACTGATGAGTCTCAGAGGGAAGGGGGGAGGGGGGAGGGCAGGAAGAGATTAACCAAAGATCTTATATGTATACTAGAGGCCTGGTGCAGTCCATGCACCCGTGGGGTCCCTTGGCCTGGACTGCAGGGATCGGGCCAAAAGCAGCTCTCCGACATCCCCCAAAGGGTCTCGGATTACAAGAGTGTGCAGGCCAGGCCCAGGGACCACACCAGTGCATGAATCTGTGCACTGGGTCTCTAGTAAAAAAAATAAAATCCTGCCAATTGTGACAATATGAATAAACCTCAAAGATATTATGCTAAGTGAAATAAGTCAGACAGAGAAAGAAAAATATCACATGATTTCATTAATATGTGAAGTTTTAAAAAAAATCAAAACAAATGAACAAAAAAAAAGAGACTCATAAAAACAAAGCAACCTTTGGTTGCCAGAGGGGAGGAGGGTGGAGAGATGGGTGAAGAGGGGAAGGGAAATATAGTCAATAATATTGTGATAACTTTGCATGGTGACAGATGGTTATTAAACTTATGTAGTGATCACATCATAAGATATATAAATATCAAACCACTATGTTGTAACCAATGTCACCTCAATAAATTTAATAATAAAAATATATATAAACTACTATGTTGTACTGCTGAACCTAACATAATATTGTATCCAACTATACTTGAATAAAAAATTAAAAAGATCAATTCAACTGATGTATATTGAATACTATAACGTGATAGGCATTGTGATGGGGGTTTGAATAGCTTGGTTTCTGCCCTTATGCCCGATTTAAAGTGATCAAAAGTAATAATAATACTAAAAAAAAGGAAATATGCTGTACATATTCAACTCCCTTGTTTTAGAGATCAAGAATTCGAGGTGCAACTAGAACAACTGGCTGGTCAAAGGTAACAGAGCAAATTCAAGCTAGAGGCCTTGTTAGATCTTTGCCTCCCAATTCTTTGTTACCTATTCTCTGAAAATTCTGTCAAGTAACTACTATAGCACTTAGCAATCTGTTAGGAGAGCAAAAACATTTAACTAAGTAACCATAACCTATAGAAGAGTATACTTACTGTGCAATATATAATCTACAAATGTCATGTTTTGATATGCTATGGCGGGGATCAGTTAGGTATGTTTCTTGTATGATTCACCTGTGTTTGATAAAAGGAAAAGGAAACTCGCAGATAGCATGACAGCTGAACTACAGATCTGACACACTGGCAAAATGACTGAAAAGCAGTGACCATTAAAGCTAAGATGTAGCTCAGCTCTATAGTCAATTGAGGATGAGAAATTTTGCTGCCACAAAGGAAAGAGCATGTGCTGAATTATCCATTATTTGAGTGTTTCTGACACTTTATGGCATTTAATAAATATGAGTTGAATCAAATTTACAGGCAACAACTGGAAAACAAATACAAAAATGGTAATGACCAAACAAAGTCAACACACAAACATACAAACACAAAGCCCTCTTTATTTTCTTCACCAGAGGCCCAGTGCACAAAATTCATGCACTGTGGTGGGGGAGGGGCTCAGCCCGGCCTGTGATCTCTCTCAGTCCAGGACTCCTCAGGAGATGTCCGCCTGCCAGCTTAGGCCTGATCCCTGGGACTCAGACATCCCTCTCGCAGTCCAGGGATCTTGCAGTCCAGGACCCTTCACTCCTTACCGCCCGCCTGCCGCGGAGGTGAGGTGGGAGAAGCTCCCACCACCGCCACTATGCTTGCCAGCCATGAGCCTGACTTCTGGCTGAGCGGGTGGGGCAGGGGGAGCACCATTCAACCAGAAGCCTGGCTCGCTACTCCTTCGCGCTGGCCCTGTCCCCCACCTACTGGTGGAGGGGGGCTGATCTGGGGCTGGGCCAGCCAGGGGAGGGACCGTGGGAGGTTGAGGTGTCAGGATGGCACCCCATCCTGCCTCTGTGGAGGTGCCAGGAACATGCCACCCTCTCTCCTGTCACCTCTGTGGCTGCCTCTGTTGGAAGGCGCAGAGTAGGGACCAGGACTTTGCAGCCCCCTCTCCCACTGCCTCTGTGGAAGGGGGTGTGCTGGGACTGCCATGGCTGGCCTGGTGATGCAGGTTCACTGGCCCCACCCCCTGCCCATGGGTCATTCCAGAAGGTCATTCTGCCGTCCAGTCTAATTAGCATATTAGCTCTTTATTATATAGGATGGGATCTGGAAGGAAATTCAAACAAATGACTTACAATAAAAAAAAAAATTAGCATCAGACCATGACAAGACCAACTGACATTTTATAGTCAAAGAAAACATCACCACACTTCTCTCTCTCTCTCCCTCCCCCTCTCCCTCTCCCTTTCCATTTCCCTCTCTGGCACACACAAACACAGAAACACACATAGATACTGACTGACTAAACTGAAATCATTGAAAAACTAAAGAAAATCCAACAGTAGTGACATGGAGCACAGGTTGGTTTAAAATCCTGATCTTGTTTTTATCCTAACAAGGGAAAAACACAATTATGATAGAGATGTTTCTCTTTCAAAGTCTATGTTAAAATAATTCTATGTATCCACCAACAAAAGCATTTTACAAGCTCTCACTTTATTCTTCAGAACATCCTATTGACAACATTAAAGCTGATATTGTTTTTTTTTTATTGTTTAAGGTATTACAAATAGTAGTACATATGTCACTCTCACTTTATTCTTTAGAACATCCTATTGACAACATTAAAGCTGATATAGTTTTTTTATTGTTTAAGGTATTACAAATTGTAGTACATATG